TCTAGATCAATGTATGGCAGAGTCTACTAAAGTTACCTAGGGGTGAAAGGATTAAGCAGTTTACATCATACCAGTGTGAAAGTCTAGAGGTTACGCTTACGTCACGACAAAATTGAAGGCACATGATTGACTACTTTATTGGTTTCATGTATAGAAGATACCTGTCACTTGCAGATTACAGAGGAGCGGCATCCGACTTCAAAGCCGGTAAATTTCACCGTTACGCTGTCGCGCGATTTTATTGATGCGCATCAAAAGATCAAGCTAGGCTACTTGTGTCGCCCACGAAATGACGCGTAACAAAGCCTGCCATGTTGTCATGACATTATTCAAGGGGTAGAGAACATAAGTTAGCTTAACCCTTTGAATTTCGAGGATTCGTGTCTGGTCTCATCGCCAAAAAATGGAATGTAAAAAGAGCATTTATTCAAACAATTGCACCCTTTTTTCAATTTATTGAAGAGAAATGCAATTGAAAGCAAGTTAAGTTCAATTGAAGATATCTTCAATTCAATTTAAAGATAAGTGCTTATATTTGTACTTATCTTGATTTGAAAATAAAAGAAATCTCCATTTGAATAGAACCTATCTTTATTTCATTGTACTTAACTCCAATTATTTGAAGATATGTTAACTAGGCGTTTCATACAAAGTCCGTCAGGCAAGCTTATATTATACTCAATATAAGGCAACACGTTAATAAGAAAATGTCATCGTTTCAAATGTAGAAGGCTAGCTAGTATCTCCGGATAGAAATCTGATTTTATACACATTGGAAACAGTGTTAACCATGAGGATGTCATCTCGAAACATCAGAAAACCGGAAGAGGACTTTTCCGGACCTTACGACTAGTCAAGTGTTGGCTATCCGGTTGTGGATGAAAAACCTGGTTATCGCAACGTAAACGTACAGCTGGTTAAATCCGGCGATATCCCAGCTAGCCACAGTTGTCAGCAGATCTAGACTAATAGAGCCTCGTTCTTGACAAAAAAATCTTAGTCCTCGGGTTGAGATTTCTCTATCTTACACAACCAGTAGCGATTGATTATTTTTCTCCCATATCTAACAGTATTTTAATGCGAAATAAAGGTAAACATGGACCCAAAACACATACGGGAAATTTGTTGATGGATTGTTGACGTGGCGTCATTGTATTGTTGAAGTGACGTCATGCCATTGTTATGAATAGGGGAATCCCCCCGACTCAACCCTAGGGCGGAGACAGATAAATCTAGCACTGGCAAAACGGGAGATAAATCTGTCAGGTGTGGGAGAAATATATATACACTATACCGATTCAGAGCTAAGAAACACAACACGAACAAATAAACTTTTACAGGGGGATACAACTTTTAACACGTTACATCGAACACCCTTCGTCTGAGGGATGCTTTAAACTGTTGCCATACATTTTAAAAAAAAAGAGCTTTGGACACGTGTATTGACCCTTTTACGCCCTGTTGCGCGACCTCTTCCATTTAACCCCCATCCCGGTTAAGACGAGCAGTCACAATTTTGGTTACATTAATCTGCTCAGCCACTTAAGTTAAATAGGACAAATTGACCAGCTGAAAACAGGTTTCCATTCAGCCTGTTATCGAAGATTCACATTTCCGAATTGGCCTACTGCTAAATGATATCCATTTTTGGAAGTATTGATAGTAATTCAGCTCCAATACATAAATCTTTCAGAGACGAAAAGTGAAATTGGGTATTGTAAGAAACGCCTCGGTATTCCAGTCCCATAAATATCGCCAAATCACGTGGCTTTTGTTAAATGATCTCGGAAACTATGTTCAATTTTGCATGCACATCGTTTACAGACCAGCTACTACACTCCTGCCAATAGTTAAATTCTATGGGTCAGATTCATTTTAATATTTTCAACCATCAATCGAAGTGCCTACGATATTTGGAACTTTACATAAGCATAAACGAGGCAAAATGAGTTAACCGGGTCAAACTTAACAATATAGCCAAATGAGAACCACAACCTCTCGTTCGACCTTGTCCGTTGATTTTCAGTGGAATCCTGCTTCGGCGGATTTCGGAACAAAATTTCCCGCTTACAGCCAAGGATCCCTGCTAGCACATTGGATCCTTTGGGTTGGGTCGTTTTCTTCGATACAACTGCAACAGTTAGAACAGAGTACTCCTGTTGACCAGATAGCTAGTCTAGCGATATGAAGGCCAGGGTTCGAATCCCGGTCTGGTCTCGCTGAATATTTTGTCAGAAAAAAACATTTTTTAAATTCCCAATCCCCGCAAGACGGATGAATTCCATATAGAGACAAAACCTCACTTGACATTTTGCCATAATATGCATGAAGGTGCCCTATAAATAGCACAGAATTTGTAAAGCGAGTTGGTGATCTTGACCTTTGACCCCGAGGATAATGAATGGTTCAACCATTGCATAGGTAGTAATTCTGCTTCAAAAGTACAGGAGAAAAAATTGACGCAAGTTTCATGCAAGAATGGATTGTATTGTAATGAATTTTTAAAAAAAATCGATTTTGAGCATAGCATTTGTTTGAACCAAAATGACCTTGACCTTTAAATAACCACAAAACGAATGCATGTTTTTCTTTTTTTTTCCCTTCTCCAGTAATGCAGGCGACAATGACCTATCAACTCGATCTGGCAATCAAAAAGCAGGTAATTTTTAGCCCTGGCATACATGTATATGTAAATAATAAAGTTCGGCAATCGGGTTAGAAAGTTCCATGTGCAGCGCGACACCTATTCCAGAAATTACTTTATCATACAATTACTGTGTGATGATGTGTCATAAAGCCACCACATCAATTAGGTTTATGTCACGCCTGTTATAATATCACTCTGGAAATTATCATGACCTCTTCATCTTACAGAGGTGGCCAAATGCAAAAAAAATGTTTCAGATCTCAATTTATATCATATGATAAAAAGAATCTGTCATTCCTTCCCCTTCATATCAGATTTATGATACTCGGTTGGGATTTTTTTTTATATTTGCTCGCGAAAGGCTAGCAAAAATGAACAAGAGGCCCAAGAAAAATTGAAGTTATGATAGGTTATGTTATTGGAAGTGTACATGTATTACATGGTTAGTCAGGGGTTATATTTATATGCAATTGGACAAAATCTTGTCATTCCTAAAATAAAAGGATGATTTCAGAGAATTTGCTATATTTCCCCTATTGGGCCCCTCTGTCCCCAGGGGGGGTGGGTGGGTGTCAGACCCATCATCGATACAAAATTAGGTCCCCTTCACCCAAGGATGCTTTAGACCAAATATGTCGTTCCTACATTAGTATTAGGATTTCAAAGCTATTGTCCTCTCTCGCCCTGCCTCCCTGTCAAAAGGGGGGTCACACCCACCGTTTATACAAAATTGGTTCCCCTTCACCCAAGGATGCTTCATCCCAAATGTATTAACAAGAGGCCCATGGGCATAAACGGTTACCCGAAACCTACTGTATTTATTTTTGTTGGTGAAATATGTACCAATTTGATTACAAAATAGTTAAGTATAATGTTAACTCAAGTTTGTCAGGACCATGAGCTGATCATTCCTAGACCGAGTTTCAGTTAAATCGGCCTATTAGAACTTGTTTTTAATTTGAAATAGTTTTTCAAAATGGCGGCCAGATTGGATTTCTGATTGACACGAAAAATAACAACACTCGGTCAGGGAGATGTCAGTAAGCTTCCCATGAAATATTAATGAAATCCCTTTGTCAGTATTTCAGCTTAAGTTGAAAATGTAAAATGTTAACGGACGACGGACGAAGACGGATAGCAATAGGTCACTTGAGCTAAAGCTCAGGTGACCTAAAAATCCTGTTATTCCCCCAGAAGAAGAGAGATTTTGAAGAATTTGCTGTTTCCCATATTGGGCCCCGCCCCCTAAGCCACAGGGGGTCCAAACCCACCATTTATACAAAATTGATTTCCCTTCCAAATATGATGCTACTGTTCAAATTTGGTCAAAATACCTTCATCCCAACAGAAGAAGGAGGAAATTAAAGCTATACCTCTATATCCCTTATTGGACCCCGCCTCTCTGCCCCCAGGGTGGTCAGACCCACCGTTTATACAAAATTGCTTCCCCTTCACCCAAGGATACTTCATACCAAATTTGGACAAAATCCTTGACATTCCTACAGAAGAAGGATTTTGAAGAATTTGCTATGTTTCCCTTATTGGGCCCCGCTCCTCAGCCCCCTGGGGGGGCCACACTCACTGTTTATACAAAATTGAGTCCCTTTTGCCTAAGGATGCTCCAGACCCAATTGGGATGATATCCCTTAATCCCTACGGTAGAATAAAAAATTTAAAGGTTTATCTCCATTTCTCCTATTGGGCCCTGCCCCTCTGTCCGAAGTGGAGGCACACACACCATTTATATAATATTAATGAGTCCCCTTGGCCCAAGGATGCTCCAGACCAAATTAGTTTAAAATCCTACAATCCCTACTGTAGAAGAAGGATTTTAAAGGTTTTACCTCTATTTCCCCTATTTGGCCCTCCTCTCGGCCCCAAGGAGGGCTACACCCACCCTTTATACAAAATTGTGTCACCTTGGCCCAAGGATTTTAGAGACTAAATTAGGATAAAATCCCTTAATCCCTACGGTAGAAGGATTTTGAAGGTTAAAACTCTATTTCCCCTATTCGGCCCCGCCCCTCTGCCCAAAGGGGGGCCACACCCACCGTTTATACAAAATTGAGTCCCCTTGGCCTAAGGATGCTCCAGACCAAATTTAGTCAAAATCTACTTGGCCGTTCAGGACTATTAGCGGTTTAAAGGAAAAGTTGACGGACGCTGCGGTATGGCATAAGCTCACCATGCATGGTTCTTCAGACCAGGTGAGGTAAAAATCCAAAACTTGTATCATCAATCTAACATGAAGGAAAACTAATGACAGATCCTCTACATATAACAGCACTGTTTAGAGGTAAGATAGTGTACCAGGACAGTATTTGTGGGTATCACATACAACAACTACACATTGTTTAATTGGTAACATAGTATTTATGCTGAAAGATGATGATCTGTAAATCCTATAAAAGGGAATCCAAACTCGTAGAGTGTATTGGTATATATATATACCACATTACATTCGACTCAAAAAAAGCACTTGGCGCAACAGCCTTGACGTATCCAGCAGTGGTAAACCTTTGTTCATAAACAAAATATCACATTGGTTTTTTTTCAATCAATTACTAATGTATGGCAAGACATACATGCTATAGCACTGAAAATAATGAACAATACAATGAAATAATTAATTGCAAGTTGGTCCTTCACATACAATATAAGCCTATTCACATCAAAATGTTCATCCCAATATTATTTTTTTTTATTACAGATATCTAAGAATAGCTATAGTTAGTATAAAAAAAAATTCGGAGTATATACGAGTTCATCTAAAGAAAGTATCAGTGCACAGCACACCGTCAGCAAGATAAATTCTATTATCATTGAATGCGGAAAGTAGTCAAAATTGAGAATTTCACAGTTTCTTTTTATAATTCTCAAAATTTTACCAATACGTAAACTGAATGGAAAATATCTTCTATACTTCTACTGTGACAGAATAATATGGACAATCATGGCTTGTTATAAACAGCAGTTTAATTTTCTTATCGTCTTTCTAAGAGGCAGCTTAATGCAACAATTTTAAACACGAGTGCACCAATTTCCGGTTTCAGTTTAACAATAACTGCTCTGCAATGAATGTAGTTTCTATTCGATTTTTTATACAGTTACAAGTACTACATGTAAAATCCAGTACCTGCATGTCTACATTAAATTAATCCATCATGGTTTATTCTATGCTCAACATCAAATTCTGCAGGGGATTCTTTTACATATCACTTAAGTTTGTTTATAGCAGGTTGGGCTAGAAACTGCTGATGGTGTCGAAAGTCCTATTAATATTGGATACTACGCTTTCTTGAATTTGTATTTATTCTTTTTGTGGTTTGTCTTATGGCAAAAACAAGTTTGCAGTGCAAGGAATTTATTGAAGCAGCTGAAGTTATCATCAGAAAGTCTTGACAAATGAATGGGAGATTTGCAGTTCACGTATTATTTCCAATCACCGAAGCAGTTGCGATCAAGCCTTGCACTTGTCAAATGCCATATCGCGCTGGCAAAAGTACTGGAAGCCATTACACGGTTTCATCCATTCCTCAGGAAATTGTTCCAATGTTTTAGAATCCAATCAGTTTGACTTTACGTTGGTGAACCTCGGGTAAAGAAATGAGTTAACAAGTTTATGCAGATAAAAAGTTAACTGTGTGCAAATGGTTACTACTTTCTCCGACGAGCTCAGCATCACCACATGATTATAGCCTATGAACATACACAGATGTCAGGAATTACTCAGATGTCATCACATGCCCAGGCTCTCAAGGTATTCTGCTATTACCGCTACTGCTTTATTAGTCACGCCCTGTTGACCCCCTTCCGGACAATGTGCAATCACTATCGCCGTCTTAGATGCTTGCATGGTTATTGCACCTTTATCCTTTTTCTTACCAAGAACAAGCTTTTCATCTTCCACTCTGAGAAACTGATATTTTTCTTTACCACAATGAATACCACTGCTCATAAAGCCAGAGAAATCTTTGGACTTAAAACACTTAGCAATTTTAACACCTTCTTCAGGATCGAGTTTAAATGCTGCTGCATGTCCCGATGTGGTCCATGGACTTCCTCCATCCAATCCGATAATACATGCATTGTCTGCGTGTGCTGCTCCGCTGCTATCCTTGCTCTGGGCAAGCAGGTTGTCGATGTAAGAATCCCAAGACATTTCGAAAGGTGAGAATCTAAAAAGAGAACAAAACTATAAGATCAGGGTCTGAAATATCTACCGATTACAATTTCTCTTTCTTCTTCGTTGCTCTTTAGTTGACGTAACGGTATCATGCATTCTTTTCTCTAGTACAAATAAAAAGATTAGGGATGGGGACAATAATATTTATACAATGCCAACTATCTATAATTTGTTGGGCAAAATATTGCATATATATTGTAGATAAACCCTTGGGGGGAGGGGGCGAGGTTTATGAAATAATTTCAAATACACGTATATGTTAATATTGAATTAATATCATCCAAATGACTTAAATGGTCTAATGATATTTGGATTTCAGTCAATATTTTCCCTTTATTTGTCTTGTAATTTTTCTCTGTAACCATGGAGCTCACTCTTCGACAAATGATATAAATCTCTTAAGGATATATATATATATATAAGTATATCAGCATGGAAATTAAAAAAAACTCAACATCTGACAAAACAATCATAAATTAATCAAATGCCACAAGCTAATGGATGCAAACTTCCTTTACAGTACTATATACATGTAAGCTATATATATGTTTAATTACACAGAATTTCATAAGGTGTACAATTCACAATTCCACTAGCCCATAGCTACATGTACTGTAGATGTTTTTCAATAGGAGAGTGAACATTTTATTCATAGTGAAGGTATACGTATTGATTTGTAAGAAGAACTTTCCAATATTTGTCTGCAGGTTATATTTAACTCATTCACCCCTGAAGACACATTTGAACCCTTCCAATTCAAAGGTTGGAATAGTTCATTATGAAATATCAGGGGTGAATGAGTCAACTCATTCACCCCTACCATCTCAAACAGGACTTGTGCATGCCCAGTCTTTGAATTGGTAATTATATATATATAATTATAAGGTTCAAATGTAATTTTCGGGGTGAATAGGTTAATGATATGAACTCTTGTACACCCTAATCATGAACACATGTACATGTATGTACCCTGATCAAGTACTATACCATTATTAACTCATTCACCCCTGAAGGCACATTTGAACTCTTCTAACTCAATGGTTAGAATAGTTCAATATGAAATTTCAGGGGTGAATGAGTTAAAAACATACACACCAAACATAGATATATATTCAGTTTACATAAACATGTAGCATGCAAACAAAGATGGCTTCTACTAGATTTTTTCTTTTTTCAATAACCTATACTGTGAATTTGTCATGAACACTGAACAGAAACCCTTTCCATTAACCCTTTCACCACTGTAGACCATAACAGGACTCATCTGAATCAATGCATGGTAGAGTCTACTATAGTTATCATAGGGGTGAAAGGGTTAACACTGTTTAAAGTAGACCGGGTCGTAGTCAAGCAATCACAGTAAAAAAACAGTGTTGTTCTATGGTAATCATTTACTTCATATACATTTCTATCTTTTACTCAAAAATGTAACATGCATAGTAGGCATCTAGTAAAGAAATATTAATTCAATAACCTACACTGTGTGTGAATTTGTCCTTTGAGCAGAAACCCTATCCATTTACACTGTCCAAAATTAACAGTAGACCGATAGGCAATTATTTACTTCATATTACAGACAAAGTTGTCCGAGAATATTTACACGAACTAGGATGGGTATTATTCTATGATAAGTAGGAATAAATGGCCTAAAATTAGTTGCTTAGTCTATAAAAACTTGCTGTTGGTCTATATAAGAAATCAATTTTACAGAGACCTATTGACTACGGCCCGTAAAAACTATCATTGTACGTACTTGTAACTAAATATGGTACTTGTCTAACTCTTAACATTATTGGTGACGGCTACATTTTCTCTACAACTAGATCTCCCTGAATAATTTATTAACTATTATTTTTTATCCAATATCTTCCCAATTGCCAAAGGCCTCCAAGATGCAAAATACTCATGCAATAAAACAAAATGTTAACTCATACCCAGCATGGTGTCAAATTATTTAATAGAAAGTGCAGTTTCAACTGTTCAAAAGAGCAGTAACACATCTTAAATCATTCACCCCTGAAATTTTATAACGACATATTCCAACCTTTGAATTGGAAGAGTTCAAATGTGTATTCAGGGGATGAATGGTTTTTATATCAGTTTATCCAGTCACAAAGACGAAGTTACAGTAGCACTGTTCACAGTACCAAATTTGAGAAGAATCCGTAAAAATCTAAACTTTTAACGCTACCAATCAGAGAATGTGATAACCATGTTGGATAACCGATCAAACAAAATAAAAACCTTTGCACTTGCTTTCCAACCCATACACAGATCTATGTAAAGGTTCAATTCTGCCCAATAAATTCAGGTTTTCAAGAAAAGTGGTGGAAATCTCACCGGCAGAAGAGATATATACATGTACATGTATATTAGAAACGGTGCAAAGACAGGAACAATTGCATTTCTGGGGAATCAAATTGGAAACACGAACTCTTAAAATAGATATATGAACAAGTATTGGTGAACTTCAGGACTATCAAATGCTGAGAAATGAAATGAGATCTTTTTTTTTACCCTACGTCTGTACGAGGTTGAAATTTCCACAAGATGTTTGTTATATATGTATGCAACCCACAAACCTGAAATTTTCTGATTGTAAAGTTTGATAAAAAGTTTAGCTAGTCTGTAAAGTAATGACGCTATTGAGGACATGTATGATGGACGGATTTCTATTAACTGTCAACAACTAGTGACAAAGGTAAAATAAACCCCTGAAGGGGTGAAGTATTTGGACGACATATGCATACCCGAAGTGAAATAATTCATTTGAAATACTGTGTATGATTCAAATTAGGTATTTCTAGAAAAAGTATTTATACTCTTTTTCCGTTGTTGTTTAAAATTGTGAACAACTCCTTGAGAAATAGATAATTTAATTTCACAATGCATATATGGTTGTTTTTGTACATACATGTGATTTTCGAGTCGGTGAAATTATGGCATTGTTCGAATTCAGTTAACGTATAAGCAAACTATTTATATGAAGAAAATGATAATTGCGATGAGTAGACATATTTTATAATTGAAATGCTGCTATTGTTACCATCTAAAACGTTAACCTAATTAATATTTTCAGAAACTGTAAAATCAAAAAATAACCCAGCATTCAGTATGCTTTAAACCAGTCAAATGATACGATGGAATGCTCTGCTGTAAAAATACTTAATGTCCTTGCAACTTGATTGATTCGTTCGGAAAAACTAACTGTATCAATTCAAGTCTATACATTTCAATGCAGTATTTTTGTCGGACCTTGAACCTGTGATTGATGACTCAAGGTTTCATAATAAATGTTCGAGCTAAGATCAATTTCAACCACCACTACGGTTTATTATCACTGACACTGCATCAAACATCACTTGTCAGTTTGCATTCATGAACATTATCGACACTAAACACTTCTGTGGAAAAAGTTGAAACATCTGGAGTTTGACTCACGAATATCATACATCGAAATCCTGTAAATAAGACGGAATGTGATTCCTAAAATATGTGAGGAAACACAGGTCAATACATTTAATTTTAAGTAGGAATATTGGATTTCTTATCAAATTCCATATTTCTTTGTCAATTAAATTTCCGAAGCCTGTGCTATTAAAATAACTACAGACATTTTAATGTTTGAGTACAGGTGATTATTTTACCTTGATTTATTGGTTGTAATTGTCAAAATGTTTTCATAACGAATGGGCCTCAATTATACTTTGAAACAGGGAGAAATTCAAATTATAAAAGTTTGATTCATGAAAATAATATTAGTGTGTACATGTATGTTATATACAAGGGGGAAATTCTGGACTTTGCCGACTGTAGCTTGATTTACCGGTTTTATCCAGCAATACAAGGAAAATGAACGACTTAATAAAAAATATTTCTCAAGTGGAATTTTGAGAATCATTTCTCAAAGCTTTTGTAGGCTTTTGTATGTAAATTTAAATAAACAGTATACAAAACATTGCAACCTTATAAGGCTTATTCATGCCAGAGGTTAACGACATGTGCATGCTTTGATCATATGACCCATTTTTACGATACGTCACAGGTCAACCATAAGTGTACACATGCTTTTTCAATTCGGTTTTAACAATCACTTTGATTGGCCGAGCTCTGTAGTACTTATAACCAATCAGCGATAAGGAAAACAATTTTCACAGAACATTTATATGAAGGAACAGTTTTTTACCGACATTGAGGCAATGCCATTAATTCAATGAATTTTTAATTCAGTTTCAATTCCAAACAAATAAAGCAAGAATTGCTACCTTTCAACACTTTCATTTCAAACTCAAAATTGAAGATCCTTGGCTGTTGCTTTATTTTGATAAAATTTTGATCACAATGCCTCCAGTAGAATGAATTCACCAATTATTGGTTCATTTGCCTTTGCATTGGATGTCATTGTTTTTGTCTTCAACTTTAACTCATTTACCCCTGAAATTTCATAATAAACTATTCCAACCTCTGAATTGGAAGAGTTCAAATGTGTCTTTAGGGGTGAATGAGTAGTTAACTGATCTAATTTTTCATATCTTAGAGAACTTTTCACTGATTCATGGAACTAGAGATGTGTTCACACAATCAATTTTGCCAACCAGAGCATCAGTAAATAATAAATAGGTTGTGTAAAATAATTGCTTTTTTTTTGATAATTGTTTTCTTATGATAATTGATTGAAATTGCAATGAACATGTACAGCCAACCAAAGAGAATGTTACACTGAAAAATACTACATAGGCTGAAATGACATGCATCCGGAAAATCAATTAAAATATGAATAATTTTGGTACAACTGCATCACATGTACATTGTACACCAAACCCTGATGCCTCTGCTATGAATCGGGACATTCATATAAAGATCAACACCAAATTCCGGACACAACATTTAACAACAGGTGGTTTAGACTGCTCAGTTTATTTAGGGCACCAGGAATGGTCTCGTATACACAAAAACACGCCCGATATATTGCAAATTAAAGAAGCCATGACA